CAAAAAGAATGAAAATTTAATAAATGCAAGCTTAACTATTACGCACGAACTGCGTTTTTTGATTATTGAAAATCTTGAAAAAGAATTGGAGAAAATTTCAGTTGTTCAATAATTTTTAATGAAGTTTGTGATTTCGTCCGGCCAAACATTAAAATAAAAGAATTTTAAGATGATTAAAGACAAAAAGATTTATCACTGAGGAATTGAAATCGGTTGATTATCGCTGATTAATTATAGGTGCTTAAAAAACCGAAAAATCCGAAGAAATTATTTCTCTCATAAGAACCATTGGTAAATTCTAAAAAAATCGGGAGACTTACTTTTAAGCCCCTCAACCCCAGAAATCACCGACTGGAGTAGAGACAAAAATTTTTTTACTTTCAAAAAATTTCGAGATTCCATTGTCATTTTCCATTTCTCCATGGAAACGGAATGTTTACGAAATTTCAATCCACTCATCCTAAATAAAAATTCAAATTGACGAGCTTCTATTCCCATTGGTCAATGAAATTTCAAAATGGCGCTAAGAAAACGGTCAAATTCTGATGAAAAGTCGCCTTAAGGCGGTATGCCATTCCAAGGCAAATAGGCAAAAGGAGTTAAGCGTTTGCTCTCTAACATTATTGTGTTTATCGTTATTCTACTGAGACTATTAACCGGACGTTTTGACAGGTAGGATATGCATCATATTCTGGTAGCATCGATCAAACTTAGTGCACTCCTTTTCAATCGATTCGGCCAGAATCTTTGCTAAACAATCCCAACGGCTTTGACTGAAATTCAATCGGAGTGAGATCTTTCAACTCCGCTATTTGGAGCAGCAAATTATCGACTAGCAAAATGGATACGACGTGCGTAGGCTAATATTTGCGAAACAAAACAATCGGAGTGGCGTTCAACGAGCTTGAAAATTTCGGGGGGAGGGCAGACTTAAGTTGGGACATACGCCAATCCGTAGGAACCGTTAGCTTATTCTTCATTCCAACGTTTTCATGTGTGTGTGGGTGACTCAACACCGAAGCACCCGTCAATTCTCCTTATTCTACCTTCGCAAGTTAGAGGAACCAACCCCATAATTTCGGCACTGCAAACTATTTTTTTCACCTCCATTTGGTGAGTGAATATTATCAACTGAATTGCTAAGCTGTTGGAGATTTGGGGCTTGTCTGAG